AAAAAATTATAAAATATAACATTTTGAAAAAATAAGGAAATAGTGAAAAGTAACTAAATATACTTAGACAGTTTTTGATAAGTGCTTTATTTAAAAAAAAAAGTCCCCCAATGTAAACCTATCATCATTTATGTTGTCCAGTGATACAGATCCATGTCAGTCATGACTGGCACACCAGTTGGCATTGAATGACATCTCCGACCCCACCCCAGTGCTAAAGGTAAACAATGGGGCAGAGACTCCCAGGGTCATGCATCCATATTTGGTCTTTGGTTGATAAGGGTGCAACAATGCCAGCTTCTTTCTCAGCAGGTATTAACAGCAAGGAAGCTGCCATGTATAGCAGCGGCTGCAATAGCACTACTATATACAGTATATCATGTTCAGCTCCTGCTGAATAAGTAAAAAGTGCAGTGTTCAGATACATACTTGAACAGTCCATAATTCAGTCCACACTGGCCCAAAGGGTAAGGCCATGAAATCATACAGGAACAAAAGAGGTTCATCCAAATTTCCACCTCTGCATCTCATTTTCTTTTTTTGAGACACAGCATATTGATTATTAGGGGATTACATTTACCATATATACCTACTCCCTACTGACAAACTGTTCAATCAGCTTTTGTTGATTTTCACTAAATTAGAGAAAACCCTGGTAAAATTTTCCTCATAAATTCTTTTGGTTATAACAAAATCTTGGAGAGAGGAGTTTATGTTATGATTTAATAGTCAAAAAGATCTTTGCAAATTTTGCAAGAATTTTGAAGGTTTCTAAAACCTGACCAGTGATAATTACATTTGGGTAGAGATGTTCCAAGTGATTAGTAAATGTATGGGAAGAACAGGGATTATCATAAAAGCTTCCTATGGCTACTGGGTCTGTTTATAACTTTATTGCATTTTATTTTAAGTCATAAATTGTTTGAGTTGGAGCTCCTACAAAAATATGGCAGAGTGATAAATGTCACTTCTTTTAGCGATAGTCCAAAGAAAAAACAACAGAGGTAAAATCTTACTGAGATCTTGGGGCATAGAATGTGAATAAAATCTAATTTTTACAATATTATTTAGCCAGATCTAAATTAGTACCTACCTCTGTTGTTAATGTATTGATTGAGTACATTCAATTCATTTTATTTGTCACCAGACAGTATAGATTTAAACTGTGTCACCAGAGTCAAAAGACTGTTTTTTTCTAATGGTATCAGACCAATCATCAGATCAATGAGGACAAACTTGTATTTAAATATGTAAGATAACTGAAAAACACAGTTTGGCTGATTGAAATATTTAAAAGAAAAATATAACAGACAGAGTGAATCTATAACAGATTGTCAATCAGCTGAACAAAAGCACTAGGATAGTGAAAGGCAGCCAAATACTTGCAGTTTCTGGGACAAGGTGGCCAAATTTCTCTCTTTCCTATTAGGGGACCTGCTTCAGAGTGTGACCCAGGTAGCTGAGGACAGGAACCCTGCAACAGGCTGAACACGGATGTGGCTGTTATAGTCTCTGCAAAAGCAGACCAGGAAACTGAGAGCAACACCAGCTGGCTGAATTGATTTTACTGGGTAGATTCTCTGGACAGTGTAAACCAATGTGACTGGGGCTAAGGTTGGTGTTGAATGCTCTTGAACCCTTCAGTGGTCCCATACCCAGTGGCACCTAGCTACTCAAGTCACAGGTGCTTCATCAGGGATGGTCCTACTGATCCAGGGAAGGTGGGAGGAGCTGCACTTTATATCTCCATAGCTTGTCCAGGAGTCCAGGGGCTAATAGGAGCCCAGAGAATTGTAGGAGCTCATAGGATTGTAGGTAGGCCCTGCACCTGCCGTTGGGACAGGTGGGTAAAGGAGCATCCTGTTACTTGGCTATTTTTTTTACCGTTAATAGTCTTGTTTATGCTTAAATTGCCAAGTTAATCAAACATTTTGTAATAATGAATTACATGACTGCTAAATATAGATCAGTATAAAGATAATCATTTTTTTACTTTAATAATTAAAGAACAGTAATACATTTGGGACACGCACCCTACAGTATAAGATTGCATTTAGGAATACATGCTTGCATTATTAAGGTCTCTTTGAAAAGCAGCACATCTGATTTGTACCTTCACAGTTTGCATTCAAAGCCAAAGTATGTTTACGATACAGTTTCATTTGACAGCACGGGACTGTGTAAAAAGATAATTCCCACAGTTAATTGTTCTGAAAAATTAATTTTTATTTTAAGACATTTTGTTTAACTCACAAAAGATTACTTTACTATAACTATTTTGCTTCAGTATATATTTCGGTTACTAAGAATAGCCCAGTACAATACTATTTCTTGTCTTGTCTTAGAAAAAAATGTCCCCACTAGAGTCTCTGTAATTTATGCATCTTGCAACGAGGGTTGCTATATATAATCCTTTACAGCCAATGTAAAACAACATAGACAAGGCAGAGCATTGCAAAATGATGTCATATAGTGTAAGGCCAATCTGGGCAATGGCATTTTTATGAAAGTTTGCTTGTCAACTTTTATATTTGTATTTTAATTAAGAAAACCATTAATGCTCTACTGGAATATTTATTTCTTGTATGAATACACCACTGGGAGGATCCTTTTGATGCAAAAGAGCATTCTACGTATTTGGATTGATAAATGCACACTGACCTCTGTATACACAAGGAGGTCTCTGATTCCAGTGAGTGTAAGAAATATCAGTCTCCATGTGTGTTTCTTCTGCAGTATATTGCCAATAATAATATTCATTAATTTAAACCAGTGTTTCTCAACCTTTTTTTAGTCAAGGTACCCTTTAAAATTATGGACAGTCCCGAGGCACCCCTTAAAATTATAGACAATCTCAAGGTACCCTGTTCTAAAATGGGGTGCCTTTAGACTGTCCATAATTTTAAAAGGGCACCCTATGCTAAAATGTGAAAAACTATTATAATAGTTTTATATAAAGCAGCAACATCCACACATGTAGGACACCCAACATTAGAGGTGATTTATTCTTCCAAAGCAAATACACTTTTGCACACTGGTAATGAGTAGTATTCCAGTGTTTCTCTTCTCCCTCAGTTTTTCTCCATCACTGAGCTTATGTGACCCCAGTACTGATGGGGGGAGGGTCAAACTAGGATGCTGTGGAGGCAGATGACATCCTCCTTATCAACTGATGATGTCATTTGTTGTCAGGACGCTGGCGGCCAGAAGGTCGTAGTGGTGCACAAAACTTGTGGCTTTTTGTAACTATAAGGCAGGCTTGTTCCACCCGCTGGCTTGTATACAAGTTTTGGGCAATTCTTAGTCATTTTGTCAATGCACCCCTGAAGAAACCTCAAGGCACCCCAGGGTGCCTTGGCACCCTGGTTGACAAAGCCTGCTTTAAAAAGTCTGTGTTGTTGTAAACTTCACTGCAGTTATGCAACACATCTTGGTCACATCTTGGTCACCAAACTTGCTTACTGATGGGTGGTTCACATCTGTGGGGTATGTTTTGGGAATGTTGCACTGTAGCCTCTTTTTACATGTGTTTTGGATAACTTAACATTGAAACTCTGTGGAATGCACATTTTGGTGAAAGCACACCAAAGATGCAGTATGCAGGACTTTTTTTTAATGCACTGCACCTAGAACTCACATGTGCGAACACCTTATCGACAAGGTTATTGCTCTGTACTCTTGTCAGTTGACTCTAAGGGGTTTATTTACTAAAGCTGGAGAGTCCAAAATCAGACTACCTTCTGCATAGAAACCAATCAGCTTCTAACCTCAGCTTGTTCAATGAAGCTTTGGCAATGAAACCTGGAAGCTGATTGGTTTCTATGCAGAAGGGAGTCTGATTTTGGACTCTCCAGCTTTAGTAAATAAACCCCTAAGTGTTACATTGACAGCAGATTGCAAAGCAGTGAAGACCGTCTGGTAATATCAGTTTTAAAGTAAAGTTATCATATAAAGAAATGCCCTCAGTCTGTGTTTTTGCAATCTCTTAAGGAAACAAGCCGCACAAGAGAAGAGGAGATGTGGCAACTGTGGTTCATGAATCGTTTGATTGTCATCTGGCTGTACAAATCTGTGTATGTATATAAAAAAAACTGAAATGCTTTTTCTTACAGTCTTTGTGCAAGGAATTCTAGTAATGTGTGCTTAGTTAATATACATTCTAACATATATTATTAAACAATACACTTCTCTGTTATATTTTGAAGAATGCCTATGAGAAATGTAACAGTGGTTGTGGAATTTATTCTTCTTGGGCTTTCTAGCAATCCAAAAACTCAAGTTATTCTTTTTCCTATCTTTCTGCTTGGGTACATGATCATCTTAATTGGAAACATAGTTTTTATTACTCTAAATGTAACAGACACCAGTCTTCGTACACCTATGTATTTCTTTCTTTCAAACCTTTCTTTTCTGGATCTCTTTTATTCATCTTCAACTATACCAAGGATGTTGAGGGATATGGTGTCAGTAAAAAAGATAATCTCTTTTGCAGAATGTGCAACACAGATGTACATGTCTCTTTCTTTTGGTGCAAGTGAGTGTCTTCTGCTAGCAATAATGGCATATGATCGATATGTAGCAATATGTTATCCACTACGCTACACTACCATCATGAGTAAGATCGTCTGCTTCAAAATAGCTCCTGGTACATGGCTATGTGGGTTTCTTCTTTCTATTTTTCACGTGGCTCTTACACTGAATGTAGATTTTTGTGGAAACAATGTAATTAATCATTTTTTATGTGAAGTGCCAGAAATCCTATCTCTGTCATGTGAAAATATTGTCTTAGTTGAATTCATTATTTTTGTTGTTGGTGTGATTATTCTTATGGCTCCTGTCACATTTATTGTAGTATCATATATTAAAATAATATTAAGTATCATTAAAATCACATCATCATCTGGACGGAAGAAAGCCTTTTCTACATGTGGATCTCATATGATAGTTGTGACAATATTTTATGGTTCAGCTATGGCTGCCTACCTGAAACCAAGGTCAAGTTCAATACCAGGAACAGATAAAGTGATTGCCATCTTTTATGTAATTGTACCTCCAATGTTAAACCCAATCATTTATACTCTTAGAAATAATGAGATTAAAGTGGCATTTATGAAATTTAGAAATAGATATTTTTTTGCTAATGAAAGAGGGAAGGCATCCATAAACTCTACATAAATATAGTATAGTATGTCGCTAACAAATAAACATAAAATAGGCATTTCTTTGGATCTAAGTCAGTGTACAAATGACCCACTACCAGGACAGCTAGTCCTTTAGTACTTTCACTCAGTAAACACTTTATTAGCAAGGCAGTAGATGCAAAGATAGTGCAGATTAAGATACAATTTAAAATAATAGCAATTTATTTCATTCACAATCTGAACAAAAAAAAAAAAGTATTTAAACATCTATGGTATACCACAGCAACGCTCCAACCTAGGTTTCACCTTTCAACATCTTCTTCAGAACATATCCAGAGAACTCCCAAAAGATTTAGTGTAAGCCTCTTTGTGTGATTCGTTGGAGGTATGTGACCTCTAACACCTGCATTCTGGACCTTCATTGGTACAGTGTTTAGCCTGATCCACACATGGCCCACCATAGACTTTGACAGGCTGCCTGCAATGGGGGCACACACTGCTCCTAGACAGCCCAATGTGCAAGGGTTATGAGGGAATGTAGTTCAGACTGCATGTTGTGAATACATAAAAAATATTACAAGTGATAATATTACCCAGAACATCAGCTTATATTTAGAGATTTTAACAAAATATTTCATTTGTAAGAGAAGGAAACATTACAAAGCACTGTTTTTCTGCCTAGAGTCTATTATTACACAGAAAAAAGCCTTCCTGAGGTACTTGAAGCAGGTACATTCTCCAAATTGTCTGCCCACCCCAAACTTATTCTCATAAATAAACAATGAAGATTGAACAGTGGAAGTTTCATAATGTGGTATATGTACACCATTGTTTTAATAAAAATAATGTTCTTAAATTCTTCCACCAATAGCAGGAGGAATTTTTTTTTTAGATATAACCAGCTACAACATTCTGTTCAAGCCTATGAGAAAGTTACTCCATTAATATCTGATGAAGTCGAAATAGAGTTCACAATCCTGCAAATCCAAAATACAACTATTTACCACATTTTAATGAAAACACATCATAACAGTTAAAGTGTGTGTGTAGCCCAAACTTTTTTCTAGTCCTAGTAGAGTTAAATCCACTGCTTTTTTTTCTTTTTGCCAACTATGTGCCAATGGGGAAATTCCCCTTCACTCTCAGTGTTCCAGAGATGCAATAGAAAGTTAGGACAAATCTCCTATCTGAGGGGAAATTCCCTTTTAGACAGTTGACCCCAGAACAGATGTTACCATTAGAATTCCCTTTACCTCACTTTCTTCCCCCCCACTTTCAGGTAGACCAGTATGGCTCAGGGGTGGAGAGGGGGAAGACACTCACTGCACCTTTCCTGGCCTAAGAACCTCAAGCTCAAATAACCCATATGGAAGAAAAATATATTTGAAATATATTTTTAAATATTTATTCTTCCCAAATATATTGACATATATTTGAAATGCTACAATGTTGGCCACTTTCAATATATTTTAAAATATATTTCAATAAATATATATATATATTGCATGTTGAAATTATTATTATTATTATTATACAGTGTTTATATAGCACCAAAAAGTTTGCTCAGCGCTGTACATTATAGTGGGGGACAGTACATGAGACAATACAGTAACAAGACAATATACGAGAGGTTCAAGGGCCCTGCTCTTTCGAGCTTACAATCTAGGAGGGAGGGGATAGTGGTACAGGAGGAAGTGGCTGTGGGGGATGGAGTGGTGGGAGGAGTGGAGGAGATCGGCTGTTAGGTGAGGGTGGGGTAGGCTTCCCTGAAGAGATGGGTTTTCAGGGTGTGTCTAAAGGTGAGGAGGGTAGGTGACAGTTTCATGGATCGGGGTAGTGAGTTTCAGAGGATAGGGGAAGTCCTGGAGAAGTCCTGCAGTCGGGCGTGGGAGGAGGAGACCAGGGAGCTAGAAAGTAGGAGGTCTTGTGAGGAGCGAAGAGTACGGGTTGGGTGGTATTTGGGTATCAGGTCGGTAAGGTAGTTTGGGGCAATGTTATGAATGGCTTTGTACATCAATGTTAGTAGTTTGAATTTAATGCGTTGGGCAATCGGAAGCCAATGGAGGGAATGACAGAGGGGGTGGCAGATGCGGAGCGGTTGGTAAGGTGGATGAGTCTGGCCGCTGAGTTCAGGATAGACTGAAGCGGGGATAGTCTGTGATGAGGTAGGCCAGTGAGGAGGGAGTTGCAGTAGTCGAGTCGTGAGATAATAAGGGAGTGAACGAGTTGTTTAGTAGTGTCTGGGGTTAGAACCGTACTTATTTTGGAGATGTTGTGGAAGTGGAGCCTGCATGAGTTTGCCAGCGATTGGACATGGGGTTGGAAGGACAGATTTGAGTCTAGAGTGACAACTAGGACATTGGCTTGCGGGGTGGGACTGATGGTGGCGTTGTTGGTCATGATAGAGAGGGTGTGGGGGCGCGGGCTGGGGGGAAAATTAGGAGCTCGGTTTTGGAATGGTTCAGTTTGAGGAAGTGGAGCGACATCCAGTCTGATATGTCATTCAGTACGAGGGTGATTCAGGCGGAGACTGAAGGGGTGAGGCGAGGGGTAGAGAGATAGATTTGCGTGTCATTGGCGTAGAGGTGGTAGTTGAAGCCATGGGAGTGTATCAGTTGCCAAGGGAGGAGGTGTAGATGGAGAAGAGGAGGGGCCCGAGGATAGAGCCTTGGGGGACCCCAACAGAGAGGGGGAGAGAGGGGGGAGAGGTGGCAGCGTTATAGGTAACGCTGAAGGAGCGTTGGGATAGATAGGAGGAGAGCCAAGAGAGAGTGGAGTCTCTGATGCCAAGGGAGTATAGTTTATTAAGGAGGAGGGGGTGGTCAACTGTGTCGAAGGCCGCAGAGAGGTCAAGGAGTAGGAGGACTGAGTAGTGGCCATTAGCTTTGGCGGTTAGCAGGTCATTAGTGATTTTGAGTAAGGCGGTTTCGGTGGAGTGTAGGGGACGGAAGCCAGACTGTAATGGATCGAGGAGGTTGTTGTCATTGAGGTGGGAGCTTAGACGATTGTAGACTAAGCGTCGAGGAGTTTGGATAAAAATGGCAGCAGGGAGATGGGTCTAAGGTTGCTCAGGTCGGTGGGGTCCAGGGAGGGTTTTTTGACTATGGGAGTGATGTGAACGTGCTTTAGAGGGGAGGGGAATGCGCCAGTAGAGAGGGAGAGATTGAGGATGTGGGTGAGGGAGCGTAGGATGGAGGAGGAAGGAGACCGGAGGAGTTGTGTGGGGACAGGGTCAAGGGAGCAAGTGGTGAGGCAGGCTTCTGAGAAGGCCTTAGTGACCTCTTCAGTGGTAGCAAGGCTGAAGGAGTGGAGTGCCGGAGAGGTTATAGTGTGCGGGATGTTAGGTGTGGTGGGGGTCAGGGTGGTTGCGAGGTCAGAGGAGGTGGGAGTTGAGGGGGTTATCGTGGGAGGGAGGCTAGGTGGGGAGGTAGATTGAGTATTGGTGATGTCTTTATAGATTGCGTCAATCTTGTTTTGGAAGTGGTTGGCAATCTCGTGGGCGGTAAGTGAGGCACTGGGTGGAGGTGGGGGGGGGGGGGAGAGTAGGGAGTTGAAAGTGGAGAAGAGCCGGCGAGGACAGGTGGAGAGGGTATTGATGAGGGTTACGAAGTAGGCTTGTTTGACAGCATGGAGGGAGGAGGTGTAGGTGAGGAAGGTGGATTTGTAAAGGGTGAACGCTTGATGAGATCTGGTTTTGCGCCATAATCGCTCCAGCGCGCAACTGCGTCGTTTAAGATTTTTGGTGTGGTCGTTCTGCCAGGGTTGAAGCGGTCGGGGTCTAATGCTGCGTGTGGTTAGGGGTGCTAAGGAGTCTAAGGCAGCTGACAGCAAGTTGTTATACGCAGTAGTGGCCAGGTCAGGGCAGGACAGTGGAAGGATACTGTCGTAAAGACGGTCAGCTGCAGAGTAGAGAGGGGCCGGGTTCAGGTTGCGGAGGTTATGGCTGGTGATGGTTTGACATTTGGGGGGGAGGTGTTTGAGGACGGGGAGACAGAGAACGTAATGAGGTTGTGGTCAGAGAGAGGGAAATGGGTGTTTGTGAGGTTGTGGGGGGTGCAGAGATGAGAGAGAAACGAGGTCCAGGGTGTTCCCGTCGGTGTGGGTGGAGGACTGTGTGCACTATGTGAGTGCAAAAGAAGAGGTTAAGTGGAGGAATTGGGATGTAGCCGGGTTGTTGACGTTGATAGGGATACTGAAGTCACCAAGGATGTTGGTGGGTAGCTCAGAGGAGAGGAAGAAGGGTAGCCAGGTGAAAAAGTCGTCAAGGAAGCGGGATACGGGTCCATGAGGCCGATAGATTACTGCAATCCTCAGAGGGGTGGGAGAGAACAGCCGGATGCAGTGGGCCTCGAAGGAGGAGAAGGATAGAGAGGGGGGGTTTGGGAGGACCTGAAAGGTGCTCAGCGGTGACAAGAGCATGCCGACCCCACCACCTCTATGACCGCTCGGTCTGGGTGAATGGGTCCAGACGAGACCTCCATAGGAGAGTGCTGCAGGGGAGGTGGAGTCAGTGGCTTGGATCCAGGTTTCGGTGACCGCTAGGAGGTTGAGGGAGTGGGAGATAAAGAGGTCATGGATGGCGGTGAGCTTGTTGCAAACCGATCGGGCATTCAGGAGTGCAGTCGAGAATGGAGGGGTGGATGTAGGGAGGAGGGGGACAGGTATTAGGTTGAGGGGGTTGCAGCAGTTTGTGGGAGTAGGAGGGTGCCTAGTGGGTGAGTGAGGTGGTGAGGGACCAGGGTTCTGGGAGATGTCCCCGGCGGTTAGGAGAAGGAGAAGGGTGAGAAAGGTGGTATGGGAGTGGGATGTGCAAGAGCGTGTGGGTCTGTTAGTGGTGGCATGTGGGTCGGTGGGAGAGTGGAGTATTAGGAAGAGGTGTTGGGAGCTGTAGTGGGGAGATAGAAGTAGTAAGGGTGCAATGTACAGTTGTTTTCGGGGAGTAGGGGGGTAGAAGGAGGAGATTTTGGAATGGAGGAGAGGAGTATGAGGAGGAGTACAGGTGGCATATCAGGTGGGTGAGCGGATTGCTGGTCA